CATACGTGGTATGTATGTATGTATGTATGTATGTATGTACGTATGTATGTTTGTATGTATGTATGCATGTATGCATGTATGCATGTATGCATGTATGCATGTATGCATGTATGCATGCATGCGTGTATTTATGTATGTACGTACACACATACATATATATATATATACATATATATATATACCTATTTATTTATATATATATATATATCCATGCACCACATGCGCACACATACACACTCATGTGGCAAACGTGCTGCTAGGTTCCTGATGGTGGGAACTTTGTCCGCAGCAACCTCGTTCCCATGTCATCGCCGCACGAGAACCGGACCAGAAAGACCGCCGCCTGGGAATGCTCCAAAATCGATTTCAAGAGCTTTACAGGGAGTGGCGCAGACAGCCAGGCAGTTCAAGATCTCATGACATCCCTGGAGATTTCCAAATATTGTGGCAAGTACAAAGGCGATCCCAAGGCTGAGGCGGCCCAGAATCCCACTTGCCTTGCTTTTTGGGCAGGCATGGAGGCCCACATGCAGCTCCAGAGGGAGGGAGTGAAGCCCGTGTTCAACAACATGATGGTTGTGAATTGGTTTGCGAACGAGCCGGGTCACTACCCCTCCTGGGGAAGCACGGATGATATCACCGTGACCTATGCGAAGGGTGAAGCCAAGACTGTGACGGTCAAGGACAACAATGCAGTCACGGGCTACGCCTTCTGTGACATCGTGCATACCATCTTGAGGCAGAACTTCGATCAGGCGCAGCGTGGACAATGCGCCCCAACGGCGGTGCTGATGGCGCTCAGCAATGTGAATCCGGCCAAGGCCATCAAGATCGGGCTCGAGTTATTCTGGACAGGGACTTTTCATGGCGTTCCACCCCAGTTCGATCAGTGCCACTACATTTACGACGACATGCCGCCGGGTGTCGTGCCTTTTGATGTGGGCCAACCTGGGACGGAAGGCTCCGGAAGCAAGCCCTTGCCGATGCCATGCCTCGGCAACGCAAACGACTGCGAACAGAGCACCGGCGCACCCAACACAAATGCCGGCTTGCAAGGCATGTGGGCAATTAAGATGACGGCTCTCCGGGATTTTGCAACCGCGAAGAGCTGCGATGCGTGCGCTCGGAAAGCTTGGGTCACCTATCCAGGCATGAGCCCCGAGCACCAAGCGTTGATCAGCGACGGCTGGTTTTTTGGGCCCCTGAGGCAGATGATGGAGATCCTCTTTCAGGCACCAGTACGGCTGGACAATATGCCGAACAGGGCAGACCAACGGTTCATGAAGGACGATTTTCACCGGGATTGTAGATCCTGATCCTTGAAAACCCAACACACCTGGACCGTAACCCCAAAAGTATAAACACTAAAGCCCTAAAGCACTAAACCCTTCATGAAGGAGACAATGGATTTGATCTGCAGCATGAAGGGAGGTGCAGTGGTGGGGATTGCCTCTTCGGTTCTGAAGATGGTGACTTGGTCCCGTTGGTGCCCTCTTGCCTTTTTTTAATATAGGTTGAATAGGATTAGGGGTTTAGGCCCCTTTGGGCTTCCGTTCTATGAAAGTTAGGTGAACATCGCGCTGCACAAAGTTGGAGCAGGCAGCCGGGAACGGCCGTGGCGTTCAAGAGACTGGTCTTGGAGGTGTTGGTTTCAGAAACCAGGGGAGTCTTAGTTAGCAGTTCTTATGATTAGGACCTCATCAAGTAGGGTCTTATGTTGTGGTTCCTTGCTTTCTGTCTCCCAGGTGTGGGGAGAACCAGTGGAGCAGCACTTCAGACCATGCGGCTTACATTGATTCCTGCGACGGGGACATCGTATCAATCTGGACATGGTCGGGACGCCTCTTCATCGATCGTGAGACTTTGCTTACCTGGGGATCGGACACCAAGAATGGCCTACCATGTCCCGGCGAGTCTGGACCCGTAAGCAGTGCTCTTTTCGAGTTCATTGAGGTGCCACATCCCGGTTCCGATTAATTCGAAGCCGACGGCGGCGGCTTTGTCTAGGCCTAAACGGCTCCGGGTGCACGTGCTGGCAGGGTGCAAACGCCATGATCCTCTGTCAACCCTCGTACTTCGTAACTTAGCTCGGCTCAAAGCCTTTTTTCAAGTTGACAGAAGCTCAGGTGGGGTTGCAGTGTACTGCCAGCGGTTTGAGTTTTCGCTTCCCCCCGGGCTGCGGATGTGAACGCGCGTCCAGATGCCAACCGGCGGACTTTGGCTGGTATTCAGCTTATCCCCTGGATTCAGAAGTAGGGTCAGAAGAGTCAGCGGCACCGTGCTTGTGCCCTGTTAGGGCATGTTCGCATGCAGCCTTTTCTGCAACACCCCCCCATACCTGTGGACTGGGAGTATGCCAGTATACCAGCATTGCTTCGATTCTCATGCCTATCCTAGCATAGCAGCAAGAAGGCTGGAATATCAGCCACGAGCTCGTAGAAGGAAGCGGCAATGAGCTCGTAAAAGGCAAAGCGAGCAGTACCTGAACCCTGAGTACCTCCAAACCTTAAACATCCAAAGCCCTAAATCCTTAAAACCCTGAAACCCCCCAAAACCCCCAGAGCCCTAGACACCCCGAGGCCCGCAACCCTGGAACAAGTCACGCCCCTGTGATTTTGGGGCTCCAACAGTCGCGCGTTCCGCAGTATAGACCCGGAAGCCGCTCTGGTGCCGTGATGGCGGTGATGTCCCTGCTGCTCCTCCTGGTGCCTCGACTCTTCAACCCTAAGGCCCTAAACCCAAGACCCTAAGCCCCAAACCCGAAACTCTAACCCTTAAGTTCTAAATCCTAAACTCTAAACCCTAGATAGACTCCGAAGCCAAGAACGCGCACCTTAAACCCTAGACCCCAACTCCGAAACCCCTTAGCCCCAAACCCTGAATTTCTAGGCCTAAACCCCAGAAGTCCTGGATGCGGCCAAGGCCTAGGCGGCCTCTTGCCCTAAACCCGGCGACTTAGGGTTTTAAAGAATTCTTTTGAGGGCCTTTGGGGGGTTCAGGCTTTAGGGCCTTCAAAGTGGAGGCTTGCCTCTTCCTGCGTATTGTTTTCTCCTTTTGGTCTGATCCCCCGATCTATTCTGCTATTCTGTTATTTTTTCACCAAACCCCCTAAACCCTAAACCCTAAACCCCTAAACCCCTAAACCCCCTAAAGCCCTAAACCCTAAACCCGAGGAGCCCGAAGGAGCCGAGCCCCTCCCCTCCTCTTGCGTTCTTCCGCGGTCAAGACTACATTTGGTGTAAGGGGGTTTAGGGCTGAAAGGGTTTAAGGCGTTTAGGGTTTAAGGCGTAAAGGGTTTAGAGGTTTAGGGGTTTAGGGCTTAGGGCTTAAAGGGTTTAGGGTTCAGGATTTAGGGGTTTAGGCTTAGTAGTTTATGGCTTAAAGGGTTTAGGGTCGGTTCTTGGGCGGTCTGCCGGGCAACCGGTCAAGTGTTTGTTACCGGAGATTTCATGACTAAAAATAAGGGGTTCTATAACGGTTCGATCATGATGTATCCCCAAAATTCGAAACCCCCAAGCCCCTAAACCCTAAGCCCTTAACCCTAAACCCTAAACCTAAAGCCCTAAAAGCCTAAAGCCCTAAACCCTAAACCTATCCCCAAACCCATCAGCTCCAAAACTTCGGAGAAAGACCTACAGACCCTGGGTCTAGGTCTATATACCCTATAGAAGCCTTATGGAAGCCCGAAAAGACCCTAAACTCCCCGCCTGTAGTTTCCCTCAACTCAACCCTAAACCCTAAACCCCTACAAACCCTATAAACCCAAAAAACCCTAAACCCTAACCCCGAACCCTAGAAAGCCAGAAAGCGGGCCGAGGTGGCGCCCAGCGCCGTCGTCGCCACGCCCTGCTCTGGGCTCTATGGCGCTGAGGCCTTGACCTGCGCCTGGGAGCAGGCGCAGAGCAGTAAAGTATAATTATTTTAGATAATCAATCTGGGAATTTTTCGAAAAATTAGGGGGTCCCTTATTTTGGGGTCCTTGTAATGAGGATCCTACTATTTAGGGTACTTTGTTAGGGTCCCCTATTTTGGATATTATAAAGTACATATTGATTCACATGATTCAGTCTTTTTTTGTTCTCTAGTGCGTCCTAGGAGGGCCAGAAGAGGGGTTATGTTCATCAGGCGTTTCGGGGCTTTTTACGGGCTCGAGGTTCAGGGTATGGTCCGGGTCTCATGACACATTTCTGAAGTTTCTGATTCTAATTTCCCCTATGCTTGTTTTACACTTGTTGCCTTGTTGCCGATACCGAAGCCTCCACCCTCAACCCTAGTGTCTACGCCCTGGGCCCTAAACACTAAAGCCTTGGCCAGGATGTACCCCCTACCCCCTGAACCCTAAACCCTAAAGCCTAAACCCTAAACCACTAAAGCCTAAACCCTAAACCCTAAACCCTAAACACTAAAGCCTTGGCCAGGATGTGAAGACTTGCATGGAGACCAGCTGCCACGGCTGCTCGGGTGAGCCCTGCCAGCTCTGCAGAGAGGACCATACGTGCATGCCTGCATTACATGCATTAATATTATTATTGTTCTTCTTCTTCTTATTAAAAATATAAATAAATAAATAAATATGTATATATATATATATAATATGCCTGCACGTAGTCTGGAGATAGATAGCTGCCTCAACCCCTAAGCCCCGAAAGCCTGAAGCCCTGAGCCCAAACCCACGAGGCCTGCAAGCTAAGCCCTGAAACCCTACACTGGGTTCGTGTTAAGGGACTTTTTATTTAAGCCACCATGATAATGAAACCATATTATTGACTATAGATCTCTTTACCATAATACCCTGCGGGTTCACTTTCCGGGGTGGTTTTGTGTCGGTTTTTTCGGGGTTTGGTGTTTTTAGGTACTGGGAAAAAACTTTTATTGGCAAGGGTTTTCGATAGTATGTGTA